ACACAGTGGCACAAAGGTGCCTCCTGACCCCACGCTCACAAAATTAAGTAATCAATGTAAAAATCTGTTGGATAAAAATCCAAATGCATTTAATTTTAAGGAATTGATTGACCTCATTTTCACTCCTAAAACTGAGCAATGCTTCACAAAATGGAGCGAGGGTTCCAGTGAGCTGAGTGGGCAGGCTGGGTCCACAGACCTGGAAGGGTAGGGTGAGGGGGAACAGCATGGAGCAGTGGTCAGGACAAAGTTACTGCCCTGCTGCAGCAGGGACCTCATGTGACCGCAAGTCCATTTACTCATATATATTTATATGTGTATGTATATTAATATATATACACACCAATCATCTACATATATGTATAAATTAATATATACATATGTTAATATGTATGTACATATATCAATTAATTAATTGATTTTGGTGAGGATTAGGCAGAGAGAACCTTTGCTGAAACTGTCCTGCAGGCAATGGGGTGCCAGCTCTCTCCTGACTTCTCTGAGGGTGACAGACACCCTTTGGTGTCCCTTTGGTCTGGAACATCGGCATGGGCCACCCCAGCTTAGGCTTTTGTTAGGTGTGTTGATGCCCAGTACATGAGCTCAGCCCAGTAGGATGAATTCTCTGCTGAACATACATTACAAAATCCAACATAATGTTAATATATCCTTGGAAATACAATTTGTACAAAATCCTTATCAGTGTTGTGTTGTCCTGTGAAAAATGAACTTTTAATCATTATTATCATTTGTTCTCAATAGCCAGTAAGAAACAACCCCAACACATCAATCAATGAAACAGAGAAACCCCTTGCAATGTATTTGTATCATGAAATCCTACCTAGCCATAGTGATTTTACACTTTAGATACCGTCGACAACATGGTGGATCCCACAGAGGTTCTAGTGAATGACAGAAGTCACGTGGGGGGGGGGGTGCTTCAGTCCACACGGGGCTTGCCATGCAACATGGGGTTTCAATCTCCAGAGCCCAGGTTAAAAAAAAGGGAAGCCGGGCATGGCAGCACGCTACACAGAAAGGAGGGAGGAGACAGGGCGATCCGGGCTCACTGGGCAGCCAGCCCAAGGCAACTAAGAGAGCTACTGGCCTGTGAGAGACACTGCCTCAAAGCAATAACAGCAGGATGGAGAGATGGCTCAGTGGTTAAGAGCACTGGCTGCTTTTCCAGAGGACCCGGGTTCAGTTCCCAGTATCCACATGGCAGCTCAGAACTGTCTGTAATTCCAGTTCTAGGCATCTGATGCCCTCACATAGATATACGTGCAGGCAAAACACCAATGTACATAAAGTAAAAATTTAAGAAACAAACAAAACAAAACAGAACAAAAAACCAATAATAGCACCTGGGGATCAACTCCTGAGATTGTCCTCTGACTTCCACATGCAAATGCATGTGCAGACACATGTGCACCCACAGAACATACATGCACACATACGCACACACATACACATAAAAAATGAATAAGCAGGCCAGGTGGTGGTGGTGCATGCCTTTAATCCCAGCTCTCAGGAGGCAGAGGCAGGTGAATCTCTGAGTTCGAGGCCCGCCTGGTCTACAAAGTGAGCTTCCTGACAGGCTCCAAAGTCACAAAAAGAAACCATGTCTCGAAAAAAACAAAACAAAAAAATGAATGAGCCAATTTATCAATGGTTCTAGAAGTCAGAGTGTGGTGCCCCTCTGGGGGAGGTAGTGCTGAGAGGAAGTTGTGAGTCTTGACTGTGACAATGTTGGGGACAGTAGCTCTGTTCTGCTTTCTAAGGTTTCAGTTCCTGCAATCTAAGAATATTAAATGGAAAGTGCGAGAAGTCATCCCTAAGTTTTAAACTGTATAATGTTCTGAGTTGTCCCACCCGTGACATGACCAATTCTCTATCCAGTGTTTCTGATATGCTACCTACCCATTAATCCCTCAGTGTAACGTGGTCAACAGAGGGCTTGGTGCCATCCTGGGTCTCTGCAGCTCATCGGGATCTTAAGGGGAAATGACTCTCTGGTTCTCAATTATCCCGATGCCAAAGGAACATATTTTGGGGTGACAAATTCTGCTGCCTTCCAATATAAATATTTAACACTGAGTGCTACACTGGGTATGCAGCTACATTTAGGTTATACCTTAATTAAAAATTAAAAAACAGTAGTTTGCAGATATTGTAGTTAGTATAAACCATGGTTTGGTATGATTTCATTTTTGCTTTTTTTAAAATCCTTCTACACTTGAATTTTGTAATGTTTTATGATATTAGCAGTAAATTTGCTTTCTATATTTCCTATTAGAAGACAACTTGACCCATAAGGACACGGCTTTGGTGCTAATGCGAATGATGAACCATGCTGCGGAGAAGGAATATGAGGCTGATGTTGGCGGGCAAAGGTAACCCAGGGTGGGTTTCTCAGGCAGCATGTGTCCTTTCAACCAAGAATAACCACTTGTCCTGGTCACTGTCCTATTCCTGCGAAGAGACATCATGACCAAGACAACTCTTAAAAAGGAAAGCATTCAACTGGGGGCTTGCTCACAGTTTAAAGGTTAGTCCATACCATCACGGCAGGGAGCATGGCTGGCACCCGTGGTGCTGGGGTAGTGGCTGAGAGCTTTGAATCCCGATCCACAGACAGGCAGAGAGAGAGAGGGAGGCACCAGGCCTGGAGTGGACTTTTAAAATCCCCAAGCCCACCCCCAGTGACACACTTCCTCCAACAAGGCCACACCTCCTAATCCTTCTGATCCTTTCAACAGTTCCACCCCTTAGCAAGTAAGCATTCAAATGTATGAGCCTATAGAGGCTGTTCTTATACAAACTACCATGCCACTCCAGGATCGCTCTGCGGGAAAGGGGGCTTATCTTTTCAAAAGTCTCCATAATGCCAAGGAAGTGTGTTTTCCTTAAGGAGAAAATACTCCATGAGGTGACTGTAAAATTTTGGAGGGTTGGGGCTGGAGAGATGGCTCAGAGGTTAAGCACACTGACTGTTCTTCCAGAGGTCCTGAGTCCAATTCCCAGCACCCACATGGTGGCTCACAACCATCTGTAATGAGATCTGGTGCCGCCTTCTGGAGTGCAGGCATGCAGAAGGAATACTGTAGACATAGCAAATAAATAAACAAATATTTTTAAAAAATTTGGAGGGTTAGGTAAAAATTTAGTCAGATGCACCATGTTGGCCTTAAGGAAGGAAGGACTTCCTTGAAGATCCATCCCATCTGCCGAGGGACCCAGTGAGGTGGCCAAGGAGGATGTGCAGACACTAGTTACCATCCATCTCCGGCCTCTCAGAGTGTGGCGCAGACGTGAAGGCCCAGCTGCTGCAGCCAAAGTCAAGATGGTCAGAGTGCAGCTGTGTTACACAGAATGGTCTCTTTCTCCTCTTCCTCCTCCTCACCTCCCTCCTCTTTTTCCTCCTTTCCTCCTTCCTCCTCCTGCCCCTCTCCCCCTCTGCCTTCTGTGCCCCTTTCTTGGTCAGGACAGTGGCATCCCCTCCTCCAGGACAGCACTCCAGTTCTTTGGAGCAGGGTTGGGAATGTCCCTCAGGGCCGTCCTGTCTTCTCCATGTCTTTGAACAAGGCCGAAATCACCCCCAGTGCTCTGCCCAGCTGTCCCTCTTCTGTGATTTTTCTCATTATTCCATCACTTCCCGCAAAGTTCACTCTCAGTGACCCACAGGGGCTCTTTTTTTTTTTTTTTTTTAAAGATTGATTGGTTATATACAGTGTTCTGCCTGTATGTACACCTGCAGGTCAGGATAGGGCACTAGATCTCATTATGGATGGTTGTGAGCCACCATGTGCTTGCTGGGATTTGAACTTAGGACCTCTGGAAGAGCAGCCAGTGCCCTTAACCATTGAGCCATCCCTCCAGCTTCCCCCATAGGAGCTTTTTAGGGAGATTTATGAAGGGTTCAAAGTTAGGAGTAAAGGCCACCTGGGAGGCCACATGGGTTTCTTCCTCTGGGATGCTGAAGCCAAGTCTTTTTTCCCTCACCCACAGTGATGAGGATGGTGGTCCTCTGGGTGGATATGTGACTGATGAGGGAGAAGTAGTGGTTGAAGATGATGCCCTGACAGATGAAGAACTTGAGTTTTTAAAACAGTTCCCCAGCTGGAAAAAGGATGCGAAAAAGCACATCAGAAATCTCTATGCCATTGCAGACAGAATTGACAAAAGCCACCAAAAAGCCACCAAGACCAACGTGGTGTCTAACTCTGCATCAGTCGTCTCTGGAATCATGAGTCTCATGGGTTTTGCCCTTGCTCCAGTAACTGCAGGTGGAAGCCTGATGCTCACTGCTGCTGGGGTAGGTTTAGGGGTGGTTGCTGGGGTCACCAATATTGTGACCGATGTGAAGGAAAACTCTCGCAAGAGAAGAGCCCTAGCTGAGGCCAACAGAGTCATGCCTACCAGTGACCAAGAGCTTGAGGAAGTCAGGGGAAAGAAGACGGCCTATGTCATAGCCACTGGTGAGGTTGTCTCCAAATGTGGGAATGCCTGGGAAACCATCAACAACCACATCCGAGCCCTCCAGCTAACCAAAACACACCCGCATCTCACCTCGGCTGCCAAGAAGCTCATGAGTGCTGGCCAAGTCTCAACCCGAACCAGCAGGCAGGTGCAAAAGGCCTTTGGGGGCACAGCCCTGGCAATGACCAAAAATGCTCTCATGAAGAATGGTCTACTTGCTGCTCTCTCTCTTGCCCATGACTTACATTCTCTCTATGCGGATTGGAAGGACCTGGAGGCTGGAACGCCAACGGAGCTTGCAAAAGAGTTAAGAGAGCGGGCTGAGGTGCTGGATCGGGTATTATCAGAACAGACCCGTCGCTACAAAAGCCTGAAGAAGGTGAGGGCCAGGGTTTGGAAGGGGCCAGGACTATCATATGTGGAGACATGTGAAACAGCCATGGTTAAGGGAACCTGTGTGTGTGTGTGTGTGTGTGTGTGTGTGTGTATGTTGTGTGCATGTGATTATGTGTATGTGTACATGCTATATGGCAAGCTTTAGAGATCTCTCTCACTGCATGGCATATGGTAGCCTCAGAGGTCTGTTCTAGTTAGATTTCTATTGCCGTGATAAAGACCATGATCAAAAGCAATTTGAGACTGAGAAGGAAAGGGTTTATTTGGTCTACATATCCTGAGTCACTGTCCATCGAGGGAGCCAGGACAGGAACTCAGGCAGAGGCCATGGAGGAACACTGCTTACTAGCTTGCTCCCTCTCCATGGCTTGCTCAGCCTGCTTTCTTACGCCACCCAGGATCCAAGGGTGGCACCACCCACAATAAACTGGACCCTCCCATATCAATCACTAAATCAAGAAAATGCCCTATAGACAATCTGATGAAGGCATTTTCTCAATTACGGTTCCTCTTCCCAAATGACCCTGGCTTCTGTTAAATTGCCCCCCCCAACAAACAAACAAACAAACAAAACCAACAACAACAATTAATCAGGACAGGTCCAGATAGTACCCAGTGCTCAGGTGCCCCTTGGAGAACAGGGAGGGCTGTCCTCAGCTGGCTTGGTTAGCCTTCGCTTTCTTTGTATGGCTTCCATGTTGGGAAGAGAGCTTCCTGGTTGAACAGACTCGGTCTCCAAGTCACAGGGAGTGTTTGGACTAACTACCCCCTCAAATTCTATGTGGAAGCTTTACCCCTTCTGTATCTAGAGTGGAGCCTTTGAGGGGTGGTTAGGGTTGAATAAGGTTGTAAGGGTGGATAGATAGAGCCTTACAGGCCTGATGTCCACAAAAGAGAAGGAAGAAGCTGGGAAACCCGCCCCATGCACCTGCACAGAGAGAACCTATGTAAAGGCTTCCCCTTGGGAGTAATCAGACATCTGCGAGCTGAGGAAAAGCCAGCACCCGACAGGAGCTGAACAGGCCAGAACCTTTGAGACAGAGTAAACAATTTACCCCTCCCTAGGGTGCTGGGCCAGTGGTGAGCACTGAAAAGTACCTGTGGTGGTGATAGTGATGATGGTGGTGGTGATGATGGTGAGTGGTGATGGTGATGGTGGTG